GTGTTTTTAAAAGGCCTATTTAATACATAGGTCATTAAAAATATTCTATTGTTGGCTTTAAATATGTTTAGAGCCAATTTAAGATCTACATGTTATACACTCAATCGTTATGCGTTGGACCCGTGTCCAACATGCTTGCTGGACACGGGTAACAGTGCCGTTAGGCACTGTTATCTCCTTTTTTTTTTTTTTTTTTTTTAAATTTTAGACCGCTTCATTGTAAGAGTATATGTTCATAATTTTATTACTATATGTTAATAACTATACATTCATAACTCCATAACTGTACGTTCATAACTCTATAACTGTACATTCATAACTCCATAACTGTACATTCATAACTCCATAACTGTACATTCATAACTCCATAATTGTACATTCATAATTTTCGAAGCTCTATGTTCATAATTTTATCACTATATGTTCATAATTGTAAGTTCATAATGTTAGAGCTCTTTGTTCATAATTCGATCAATAACTGTACATTCATAATTCCATACTGTAGATTCATAATCTCAGAACTGTAGATTCATAACTCCATAACTGTAGATTCATAACTCTATAACTGTACATTCATAACTCCATAACTGTACATTCATAATCTTCGAAGCTCTATATTCACAATTTTAAAGCTCCATGGTCATAATTTTATCACTATATATGTTCATAATTGTAAGTTCATAATGTTAGAGCTCTGTGTTCATAATTTCATAATTGCATAACTGTATATTCATAACGGCATAACTGTACATTCATAACGGCATAACTGTACATTCATAATCAAAAAAAAATAATAATAATAACGCCGTTAACGGCAAAACGCGCGCGAATTTTTTTTTTTATAACTAAATGACGCGTTTTTTTTTTAAAAACGACGTCGTTTTGGGCCCGTGTCCACAATTCAATGTGAACACGGGTCCAGGGCATAATTTGCCTTATACACTTGATAAGGCTTACACATTTGTAAAATTAAAAAATTAAAAAAAAAAAAAAAACTTAATATAATAATAATAGATGAACAATTGCAGTCGTAAGACACAACAAATATGAAAATAGTGACAGCAACAAGCATTCATAGCCTCAATTGAATTTTAAAAAAAGAAAATTACAAACTCGATCAAGATCAACTGTTGATCAATCAAATGTTTCACTCCACCGCCTCCACTATTACATACTATGCATTATGCAAGGATAGATGGGTCTACTACGAACAAGTTGTAGGCCCCTCGATAGGGGCCTAGCTAGCCTATTTCCACTCGTACGAATTAAGTGCATGTTTAATTCTCTCGGAGGATCTTCCAATCGAGATGTCATCCCATCTGTGCATCTGTTTACCTCCCCTATAAATACAAGTACAATCAAACTACAACTCCAATTCCTATGAATCCACACATTCTTCATTTTTACTCTTTTTTACTACTATACATATCAAAGTAATAAATAAAACGTTCACAAAGGGTAAAATTATATTATTCTTGATATGTACAAGAAAATTTAAGGAGCTTTTTAGGTAGGTCAACATCCATATAAATCTATCCAATTGACAAGCTAAGCAAGGTGGACAGTGGTGATATATGATGGTCCATAGAGCATGGTACTCAAGTCCAAACCACGCTCAAGAAAATGATAGCATTAAACCTATCCATGGCCACATAACACCCACACGAATGATTATATATGTATCCATCTACCTATATATATCCATTTATTTGTTTATTATTTTCAACAAACTAAATACATAAAAATGGCTGCCTTGGGCTCCTGCTATTGACTGCCATGCAATGCATCCTTCTTGGTATATTTACAATAAATATTTTATTAAAAAATTGGAAAAAAATATATATATGATGAATGAAAGTGATTGATATTTTTGATATATTCTTGTTTGATTTAGGATGCCGGATTAAGAATGATGTGAATGTAGCTAAGTTGTCTGCCTTTTATCATCAATATCCCCAACATTATATTTATGTACTCATCAAAATGTGTGTGTATATATATATATACTCATGTGTCTCTATCTATCTATATATGTATTATATTATATCCTAAGGAGCTCACTGTGCACAAGAAGCTGGGACCTGACGCTGGTGAAACTCGATCCCTGGTCATTCTTCCAAAGTTTCACCTCTATGACCAATTGGGTTACCCATGCGAGCAACATACAAGTCTAAATGAAGTCGACTTTTAACATGATATTTGTCAAGTCAAAATTTAACAATGCATGTGTGATGTGTTCATACCATCTACGAGATGAGGTGGGGTCTTGAATGGTAATCCAATTGTCTTGATATCTTATTGCTTCTCAATAATCTTATAGCTAGGTTTCATCTTAATCGAAAACCTAATATTTTCCAGCATCGTATAGTGGTCAGAAATTTAAGATTTGGTATTAAAATCAAGTTTCTGCTTTGAAGATTTGAAAATTTTTTGTTATCAACCACCAGCAGAAAGTGGTCAATAAAATTCATCACCAAAAAGAATTGTCAGAATGCAAATTTACTAAACATTTTTCTACAATCAGCTAATGATATCAACTAGTCAAACTCACTAACTCAATCAACTAACAATTATTTACCAAACAATCTATAAACAACTAGACGAACCAAAACAACTAATAATTGCTAGCAATTTTCAACCACCCTTTGATTGAAAACATGCAAATTTTTAGCACTACATTGTATCATAGACTCAATATGCAAGGCTTAAAGAACAAAAGGTACACTCTTTTCATAATCATAATAATAAATCTTAATTCAAATTTCACATCTCTATTTCTATCTTGGGACCATCAAATCACAAGATAGAAGTGTAATCCACGTGACCTACAGGTTATTACCAAACTGGGAGGGGACCTTATAGCCCAAAAAATGTGGACCAATTACAGGTTGCATGGATGAGTGTTTCAGCTGAAATTCACCTGACCTTACCCCATTTGGGTCCATTACCAATCCAATTTTGGGCCCCCATCATCAATTTTCTACGGCTTTGAAAACCATCTCTCCATTTTGGAATAAAGGTTAAATTAGTCAATGAATTACACACAAAAATATAATTTGAATATTCAATTCAAAAATTATAATTGAATCCCTAAACAAGTCAAATTCACACCATTTGATCATAATTGATTAGTTCTCCAAGTTAACCGTTGACGTGATGGTTAACCTTTAAATTTTTATTTTTATTTTTACTTTTTCTAAATCAATTTTAATATTAAAAAGAATAATAAAAAAAATAACCAACCCCCTCCCCTTCATTTCCGCCAAGGCTTCTTCATCTCCAGACTCTGACAAAGAAAAACCTCTTCATCTCCACACTGGAGACGAAGAGGCCGTCTTTATCTCCGACAAAAGACGAAGAATAGAATGGAGTAGGGGTTTCAGCTTTTTTAGTCTTTTAATATTTAATATTGATTTTTTTTTTAAAGTAATTTTTTAAAGATTAACCGCCATGTCCATGGTTAACTTAGAGAACAAGTCAATTTTTACCCAATTGGATGAATTTGGCTTCTTTAGGGAGTCAATTGTAGTTTTTTTCAGTTGGATGACATATTGCATTTATGTGTATACTTCAGTAACTAATTTGACCTTTATTCATTTATTTTTTGCTTATTTCTCCTTTTCCTTTAAAAACAACCGTATGGGTGTGAAATCTAGAAAAGTCTGGATATAACACTATATGAGAGAGGATGACAAGACCCCAACAAAAAATTGATCAATGCCCTCTTATATTAGTTGGATATTAGATATCAGAGATGTCGGTAACATATTTTATTGAATTTTATCGGCATATGTGAAAACTAGAACAGTCGTAGGACAAAAAAAAAAAAAATGAAGGTGGTCCAAATACAACAAGAGATGCTAGCTAAGAGGACGACAAAACCCATCAGGAAAATTGACCAACTGCCTTCTGACATTAGTTGGAGTTAGAGATTAGGGATGTCGACAAAGTATTTTTTGGAATTCGATCAACAAATGTGAAAGCTAGAAAAGTCGCGGGATAAAAAATAAAAGTGGTCCAAATATAGGACCTAATGTTTAAATAAAATGGTCCCTAATCCAAAATTTGAGTGTCTTGTGGCAGGGAGGGAAAGAGAAACCCTTTGAGATGTTGTCTGATGGTATTTAAGGGAGCCATGTGAATACCCATGGGTTGAGACCAATGTTAATGTGTGTATGTTTCACTTGTAATATCTATTAATTTGACTCCTAACATATAAATTTAATGTGTTCAAATGTAAATATTGACGTATTCTGTACTTTATAACAACGTTTCTCATTGTCACATTCATTAAGTTTAAAATAAAAAATTATCACATACACATAATTGAGTGTACTTTTATTTTTCTCATTAATTTAAAGATTCATTAATAGTGTAGTTACATGAAGTGAAAATGTCTTTATAAAATGTAAAGATTTAACATAAGGTATGATTTGACAAAGAAACTTCACATAAACTCTTTGATATGTTAAGTACATGACTTTATTTATTCATTTTGCTTCATATAATTTTTACTTCATAAAATGTGATGTATAAATGTATAATGTAATATAATTTTAACATATCTGATGTGATAAATACTATCAGGTATACGAATACAAGTGGAAATTATAATATAGTAACTCAGGTAGTTAAGACTTAAGGTATGAGGGTCTCAAACTTATAAGAGAGAAAAAATGCTCCCAGCTCCCTTCTTATAGGGTTAAGAAAGAAACACATGTCGAGCCCCAAACGGAAATAAACCGTTTTTAAATCTTTAAAAAAAAAATAGGGAAAGGTAATTTGAAAAATGCATTTGAATCAAAGAATATCATAATTTTAGAAAAATAATTTAATGTCAAGCGCATTCTCTAAATGCGCATGTAAATCGCACTTTCCAACTAAATGCGTATATCAAGCACATTTTCCGAATGCGCATGTAAATCGCGTTTTCCAAATGCGTTTGTCAAACGCATTCTCCAAATGTGCATGTAAAGCGCATTTTCCAAATGCGTATGATGTTTTGAAATCGAGTCAATTTTTGGATGCACTTTACACTTTGCATCACATAACATCAAATTTTTTTACCCAAGTCATGTACATTTCATTTAGCATTCATGTCCATTTCGTTATAACTTCATATTCATTCTAGATATCACTTCTTCATCCTGCAATGAAATGAACATACAATTCACATTAAAAGAACATCAAATAATACACATGAAACCAAACACTACAATATGGATTCTTGTATTTATATGTATAGAATATGTCTGTACCAGAATGTGAATTCTTGATATCTCCCCAATATCTACAGCAGACAGCCTATATATCTCCCCAGAAAGAATGTCCTGATTGAATGAATATGCCCAAGCCCCTTATGATATGGATTTTACAAATTACAAAATGCAAAATTTATACACCAATCTATATGAAAAGAATCAGAAAATAAAACGAATCAAAAAAAAAAAAAAAAAATGAATGGATATACAATGCAATATTGTGCAGGGGAAGAAAATTTTAAGAGACCTCGAGGTGTCCTCAGACTTAGTCCTGTAAAAATTGGAAGCCTGGATTCTCGAGAAGTTCTTCTGCAGGCTTCACCTCTGCAAAGTCTTTCACTTCAAGTGTATCGGAGAGCTCATCAATGGAGAAGGGGATGCTGCAGTTACAAACACGGACTGATTGGATTATACTAAAGTTTGCGTTTTGCCTTGACTAAAAAGCTTATAAAATGTAGTGAATTGTGAAACGGAATATCAGTACAATCTGAAAAGACTGCTAAGCAAACAATGGTATGAAACTTCACCTTGAATTGTCGTCCAAGAGAAAAGAGCTGCTCTCAGCATCATTTAGATCCTCGGTCATTAACACCCTCATGCTCGAAATGACCTATTTACATTTAAAAAATGAAAAAAAAAAAAATGCTAAGCATTCGGATCTTCCAAGGATTTTGAGAGGGAGTTCTAGTTGCAAGTTACTTACATCATTAGATACACTTCGAGTATTGTATTTGTCATCCCAATATAAGGTGCATATTCTGTATAGTTGTTGGACACTCAGAATCTGTGAAAACGGAAGTGTTATTGCAAGAATCCAAAATTCTATAGAATTTTTTTTTATATATATTGTAAGAGGAAGGGGAGAAGTGAGACTTACAGGACACAAATCGTTGGTGATTTCATCATAAGATATTCTGTACTTCTGATGTATAACCTATAAATAACATTAGTAGAGAAAAAGAATTAAGTAAAATCAGTGAAATAACTCGAGCTTAATAGAAAACTGGAATCATCAATAGACATATGGGGTGGAGAAAACTGAAAGCGATGAAACTACAATGCAAAAATTGTATCAAAGAAATAAGCATACCAAGAAGCCGACAGATTGTCTTATATGTTTTAGTTCATCCCAGGCAGAACCTGCATACTGTTTTCAATAGGGAAAAGAGTTAGAAACGAGAGATGAGATATTAATCGAGTTTGATCAGAACTTTTGACGGTGAAGAGATTACATTACCTCTTCTTTAGCCTGGACACACCATAGCTCTAGCTCAGCCAATCCAGCTTTAATGTATTCCCCGTTGCTGAATGTACAACATTCACGACGTAGAAGAAGACTTCATATAGATCAAATAGCATAAAATTAGTCCCGCAATATAGCAACAAGTCAACAGAATTGAAGGAAACGTTTAGGTGTCAAAATTGAGGTTCACCTGTTAAAGAGCTGCACATTGATGTACGAGAATGTTTGCGTGTATATCTTCTGAACAAGAATGGGAGGCACCTGATACCCAAAAAATCAAAAGTTCACATTCAAAGATTTTTTCTTTTTTTAAGTAGAGGCAGTCTTAATATTGAAGGAGATGATGGAAAAAAAAAATATGTGCAGAAGGCCCGTACAAAATTTTCTTTCAATGTGCAGAGAAGAGAGTTGAGACGATCAATGATAACAAGCCAGTGATTCGTCTGAGAATCTTTGCCAAACGACCGTCCAGATCTTAGCACACTTCCTTTTGAGGCCCTGGGTGCCTGAATTTCATTGTATTAAAATTATTACATAATCCATGAAATATTGTGCAAATAATTCATATATGCAATAAATAAAACACCGGGATATGTTTGGTTGCACCTGTATACACAAAGATAGCAGTGATCCCAGCTCCTTTTTCAAGTTGTCTCGAATAATTCCGTAGATTTTCTCAACATATGCTGTAAGTTGCTGCTTGAAAAGTAGAGCAGGGTACTTGGCTTCAACTTGGCGAACTACGAGTGCAGCAGCTGCTGCTTCGATGCTGACAGAAGATGGTGATGTGCGAAACCCCTGTGAACACGTACACAATAATAGTGTTATTAAAACAAATTGATAAATGAATAGTTCATCCAAACCCACCCTGTGAGTTCAGATTCCACTAATGCCAACTTCATTTAGAAGAGAAAATATATAGCAATTAAATATACCATTGTCATCCTTCCAAACAGGGATGTTGGAGCTTGCTGTTTACGGGAAGGAGTTGCACCAGCAGGTTTCAAACTTTTCTGGATTAAAAACAGCAATGTAGAAGTGTTTGACAGCCAATATGCCATGTGCTCATTATCCTCTTGGTTCTGCAACATGGTAAAGATTTCATTAAATTTTGATTTTCATTGTATCTGCTGCTAAAATAATAAGAACAATCGAAAACTATTTGACAAAATAAATACATTACCTCAATGGCTGAACCAATCATATTAATGAGACGGTCAAACACACTTGTCCTTTCAGCTTCGAAAGATTTCCAGTGGAGAAGGCATTTGTAAATGGTAAAAGCCGCAACAGGTTTTCCCTGACTAAAACCAATATCCTTCATTACACAGTTCATGAGTGCATCCACATCCTCCTGCAACAACATGGCCAGCAAAGATACCAAGTCAACCAAAACTTATACGGGAAAGATTGATCAGTATCAAAAATTGAAAGGGAGCACACACATGTTGTCGATCAGTTGGAGGTTTCCTCGGCTTGTTATCAGGTGTTTCAAAGATTTTAGCAGGTGAGACACTTGGCAGTTCCTGGAGATACCAAACATCTAGTTGGTAGGCATAACTTAATTGAGTATTGTAACAATTACGGGATTAACAAAAATTTTATAAAAAGAAGAGAATATATTACGCCTGTTCTGCTTTCATCATTCAGATGGTGCCCATTTTCCAGTATCTGCAAATTAGTTTGTAAACATGAGATTTGAAAAATAGAAACAAGTTAAGAACACTTAATCCTCGCATTCTCACCTTGGACAAAGTCGAAGGTTCTGTGATCTGATTTGCAGGTGTCAACAGGGCCTGCTTTCGAAGAATTTGGTTTTCTGATTCCATGTCAAAAACTTTTTCTTCCAGCCTAGATTACAGAAGATTTTAATCATACTCAGAAAGTCAGAAATGGCATTTACCATTTAAAGTTCACAACAATTCCGTGTGAGTCAGATTATACACTGATTTGGATTTTTGCTAATTAGTTACAAAGAAATTACTAGACCTTTGCATGGCACTCTTCAAATTAACAATCTTCGACTCTGCCTCCATCACTTGCCTCAACCTTTCCTCACTTAGTTTGTTTGTTTCTTCAAACTTTTTCTCTGTTTCATCAATCTTCTTTTCTAGAGAGCTAACCATAGTCTGCAACATCAATAAAAATGCATCATATAAAGTGAATATACACAGTTCCAGTGCTCGGTAAATCCACAAACATCAGGATACTTACCTTGAGCCTTTCATTCTCAGCAGTAAGCTTATTCATCAACTCATGATCAATCACGGGGACTTCCTGTATAATTGGGAGTTTCTCTGCTGCCATCTTTGCAGATTCACGCTCTTGCACAAGCAATTCATTAGTTTCCTTGAACTGAACTTGCAGATCTTGCAAAGCAGATTGTAGTTTTGCATTTTCTTGTGTTTTTGCTTCTTCCAAGTCAGCCTACAAGAGAGAATTTAGGTTTTAGGATTTGAGTAATCAAAGGTTCATTTTATGATGCATCCAGTTTCATTAGTCCACTTTATGATAATAAGACCTGAGTTATTGACTTTTTAAAAAAAAAAAAAAACTTGATTTCCGTAAAAGTATTTTAGCAATGTAAACATTTTTTCTGTTTTTGATGGAGAAAACAGTTAAATCATTGGTCCTGGAAGAATCCTCTAAGTTCAGTGCATTTACTGACCCGCATACGTTTCTCCAGCTGTAGTCTCCAAGTCAATTCTTCAACTTGCTTCTCTAATTTATTCTTTGCAGCTTGGAGAGCACCTGTCTCCCGTGCAGCCTGCAATAGAGATACATAATATAAGGGACAGATGGAGTTCAACAAAAAATAGTTGGCAAGTCGTATCTTTATCTAGATATAATATACTTCAAAAACACATTTTTAAAAGACCATACAAAAGAAATGGATAGACTAGCCAGTTTCTGTGATGTTTGAGTATGAAAGATTTTACATACTTCAGAAATTTTAGCACTAAATGTAACAACAGTGTACCAAAGAGCGAATGGTTGGACTAAGAGGGTAGGCAACATAAAAGGGAAAGACAAAGAATGAGATGTCACCATCTTAAGCTTTCGTAGTTCTTTGCGAGCAACTTTTCCCCTCCAAGCACATTGCGTGACAATTGCAGCTTTCTTCAGCTTCTTGTAATCCAAGTGGGCTAGGAATTTGCGACAATGGCTCTGAAAACATACCATGTGTCATTAAGAAATTTCAACTAAAGAACGTATCACGCGAGGGCATGCACACAAAAAATGGGGCAATGTTTTCAGTACAAACATTTACATATTGCCCATCAACAGATTAGCAAACAAACTAATGGACCCTGGTAATCTGGTATAATACCTGAATGATAATTGCTGCCTTTGTTTGCCTTCTGAAAAGAAGCTCATTACGTGCAGCCATCCCACGCATGCCTGTCTGAATCGAAACAGAAGCAGAGTAAACCTCTTTGTAAGCCTTCCTAGAAAGATGCATTCGCAGATTTCTCTGGATCCTAAGACAGGATGTTTCTCTCCTCAAGCTCTCATATACTTGTCGAGCAAGCTCTCCTGCAGTAAGCAAAGAGAAAAGAGTCAAAGAGTCGTATGATATACGATGCCATCAACAAGAAAGAGTGGCTTTAGGCTTCAAGCAGATATGAATACCTCTACACACAGATTGCAATTGTATTGCTGATCGACGCAACAATGTAAAACTCTTATGACCCATATAAGAACGAACTTTTCTCTGGATTATGCTTGCAGATCTTCCTAACACCTCGTTTCTGCGAGCATCCAGCTCTGCCATCTGACCAGCTCTCAGAAAGACCTTCGTTTTGCCAATCTGCAAAAGCAAAATGGATTATTTAAACGAACTAAAGATTATTATAAGGGCAGTTTGGCCTATGCAGTGACTTAAGTACTAGCCTACTATATCCCATTCCCAGCCAGCATAAAAGATTATAGAAGCAGACTTATGAAGTGTAATTATAATCACGAGCCTGCAATATCCTACTTAATGAATTTACCTGATAGCCTTCGAGTTGCACTTTGTTCAGAAGCATCTGGCATGCAGTGACTTCATCCGCGCTATTGTGCATTCAGTTAAGAGGATCAAGATCAGGGCCTTCTAGTAATTTCAATGAACTTGTAAGAAGTAAGAATTCACATACCTTCGAACCAAAACTTCAGGCGCAAGGAGGCCAAAGCGATCTAAAAATTCATAGAAAGGTTTGCGAGTGGGATATCCAGCACAACTAATTCTAATTGCTTCCATCACTCCCTGGAAGCAAAAAGCCACCAGTACGGTAAGTGAAGAATTAAGAATATCAACAGCCAAACTTATAATTCCCACAATGATATCGATCAACTTCATAAGACTTCCTTACCCCACAGCGAAGTTGTTGCAGAACATTTTGATTCTCAAAAATAGACGGCTTAAGCAAATTATTAGGCTTTACACAGCGAATATAGTGAGGCTCAGTTGCATTCAGAGTTTCCAGCAAAGATTGCAATTGTTGCTGCAAATGTAGGAAAATAAATGTTATGGTTCACTATGCTTTATGCTTCCCACAAAAGCAAAGATGACACAATTGGAAACAAAAATGTTATGGCATACTTTAAACCTGGTGCCGATAGAGGAGAACTTCGATTGTTTTGAGGACTCCTCAGTTGATTGTGTAAACAAACCTGAAACAAAGTGGCACTTGGAAGCACTCAGAAGTGCTTGATGTTCAGCAATGACATAATCTTTATTTTTATCCAGGAACAGTTCCGTTTGATAAGTGACCTGAAATATGAACATAAACATCCATCCATTAAAATACAGGTAGTTGCAATTTTTCCTATATCTCAAATTATAGTTCTTTATTCTAAATGCATAATGGGTAAAACTTACATCACCAGCATAGTGGCAAACAGTGAAGTCAGAACGAGATAATTTGGGTTTGCTGAAACGCTTATGATTTTTGAAAGTTTGGTAAAGCTTTTGAGCAAATGTTTCATGAGTTGATCTGGGAAACATGCTACAAGAAAAGACCAAATTATATCACTCAAACCTGATAATAAATACAATCAAATATGGACAAGAAATTCTGTAGTAACTTTTACAGTGGTGTACTTTGATACTTACCAAGCTTCATCAAGAAGTGCTATAATACCACCTGGTTTCTGAAAAAGAAAATTTGTGTTACAAATATGATTGATCACAAGAAAGAGACAGATGGATAGGGACTTCTAGACTTATTTTTTACCAAATTTGAAAGCTTGGAAATATCACATCAGAAATCCCAGCATTGAACAGGAAATAAAAATATAAGTATGATATTAAACAATATGCTCATCCTCAAGGAAGAGAATGTATACCACGTAAAACAGTAAAATGTAGAAGGGACATGGTATTCATGATAAGTACATAAGAAAAGAACAAATTGGAGTTTAGCAAGACAGGGTGAAAGTGAGGAGAGCACGAAAAGGGATTTACTAAAATTCTTATGCAGAAGTATGCCATTAACAACTGTTATTACATGCTACATGCTTCCTATACGAAGAGATATAAATATCAAGAAGTTTTCAACATAAACTGTATCAGTTTGAAGCCTAAAAGATATGGGACAAACCTTCTCAATCAAATCTAGAACATCTTGATTGTCAATGAACTCAATATAGCTCCAGTTAATTTCTTCTTTTGTATATTCTTCTTGTTCCATTTTGAAAACGTGCTGTCAAAAAGGGAGGTTTTGTTATTGTTTTTGAACATACTGAAACCCCAACAAGAGAGCATAGAATTAGTAAAACCTGATTGAAATGCTGCTGAAGCTTCTCATTTGTCAAGTTTATACAAAACTGTTCAAAGCTGCAGAGAATAGACATTAGATATGAAACTTTCTATACATGTAATCTACATATAGTCAGCTCACGAGTTCAGACAAGGCATTAGCTCTTTGAAACAATGTTACTTTTGAAAAAAAAAAAAATGTGGAATAAAACAGGAAAAAATTAACCTTGTGTTTCTAACTAATGGAATAAAATAATGGCGTGGTCACTTAGCAAGTTCGCATCGAGACTTTAAAGGGATGAATTATTTCAAAATAAATCCAGACAATTATGTCTGAACTCTGAAGACAAGATCACACATAAAAACCAAAGCAATAAGCACAGTTAAGCACCTGTTAGTCTTGAAACTCTCAAATCCATAGATATCCAGCACCCCAATCAAGGATTTTGAAGTTGGGTCTTGACCAATCGAATTATTAATCTTATCTACAAGCCTGCAAGCAAAGTAAGAGGGGATAAGTAAAGCAGAGGTAATGCTTATTAGTCACTTTCAAGAATCTCACATTGGATCAAGTACATTGCAAAGAGTGATGGTCATATAGTATATAACAAATGCATCCACCTTTGGCAAAAACAAATCCTCACCAATCAAACAATCTTGAATATACAGTTTTGGCCAAAGCATCTCTACTGACAGTGGCCCCTTCAGGGTCCAGGCACTTGGTGATAGTCTCATCACGAGTTACAATAACACGTTTACATAGGGAATCTTCTAATGCCTTCACATCACACCTACAAATAACTTTATAGTTGAGAAGTTGCAATCTTTTCATCTCAACAAAATAAAATAGCATAATAGCTAAGGCTTAATAAAGCAAATAACTACAAAAAGGGCCATTTACATGAACAGCTCAGCTGCAGTTCTTAGATGAAACATAGACTTTTCATCTTTAGGAACAGATGAGTCAATCTCCTTTCCCTTTGCAAATTCTATGTTCCCGAGATGGAGGACTGCAGCCACAACTCGAAATATTGCATCCTGAGAGCAAAAGAAAGAAGTGCAAAGAAAATATTAGAACTACTTCATTACAAATTGCTTGTTACATTATAATCCATCAAACAACCTGCTCTTCAGAACTTATTCCAACAATATCCATTGCCCTTCTAGTCTCTAAGTATTCTTTGGAATCATCAACCCCATCTAACTGATAGCAATTTGATTGATTCAGATAATGGAATGTCCTTGGATGTCCCAGTTTGTACCTTTGAAGTTCCTGTAATATAAAAGATAATGAATCTCAATGTTACAGTATCATTTATATTTTCAAAGAGAGAGAGAGCTTAGCACTGCAGAACAACACATCAAACTGTTATGTAATCAGGCAAAACTAAGTGGCAGACAACTTGACTAATCAACAGGCAACAGCACAAAATTAAGATCACACGAAGCCTCGGGTACACATAACTAGAGGATAAGCCAAAATGCTTGTGAAGTACCATATATGAGAAAAACTGGATAGGAAAGAAACAATGCTGGAGACTGGAGTTGCATAATAAAATATTTTCATTAAGCAAAGTCAGCAAAATTAGATAAAGAGAAAGGACAAATGAAACCATTTACCTCTGCAGGTGCAGCACAGAGCAAATAGAAACAGTGATAGTTTCTCTCAGGATCAGATAATTGGCAAACCCGAGATCTTTCCAGCAAATATGTTCTGATAGCAGCTCCTGAAATCCTTCCTTTCTGATCAAACTGAATCTCCACAAACTTACCAAACCGACTGCAATTTTAAACTTTTGTTTTAAAAAATAAAATTTAAATTTATAATTACTCAAAAAAATGTAGAAGGAAGGACAGCTAGAAAGTGCCATAATAATGCAATACATGAAAATTTTAATAATAACAAAAAATCTTTCCCACCTTGAGTTATTATTTCTGACAGTCTTCGCATTACCAAATGCTTCCAGAACAGGATTAGACTGCAAAAAATCACAAATAAAGAGTAAAGAATTTTATGCTAAGAGACCTACTTATACTGCAGTATAAAGTTACTCAACATCAGGTTTCCTTTAAGTTCAGATGTGTCAGACCTCCAGGACTTTCTGTTCAACTGTCCTCCCATCAGTTGCAGCTCTCCCTCCCATATAAGCAAGATAACGCATTAATTGTTTTGTGCTTTCTGTTTTACCAGCACCACTCTCACCACTGACCAATATTGACTGACTTATTCCTTCATTGATCATAAGTCTGTATCCAGGGAATTGTTAATTCCAGTTTCAAAACAAAATTTAATACTTGATTGGATAACAAGGCATATTTTCTTACCTATACGCAGCATCTGCAACGGCAAAGGGATGAGGACTCAGCTCCCCAAATGCAGCACCTTTATATTGTGCCATCATATGAGTGTCATAAAGATGAGGTAATCTTCTAAAAGGATTGACAGCAATCAATATATTCCCTGTATACGTCTGAAGCCAACAATATGAAATTAGCAGCCGCCTTAGCTATAGTGAGAATACTAAAGGAAATGAGAATAGATGTTGGAAACTGGAAACATACATATATTTCATTAATATCATATCTGGTTTTTAAATTTTGAAGAACACCAGGTTCATGCAGATAAGCCAGCTTTGTCATATCATCGACACCACATGATGGAGCTTCAGCATCTTTATGATAGATTTTGGAGGACTTAACAACAACCTGTTAAACCAAAATTAAACTCAGTTCACCCCTATGCTCTATACCTTTTTATAAACTAACATATAAAAAATTTTTAAAAAAAAAAAAGTAATCTTTACAAATATATAGTAAGAATGAATAAGGGAATAGGAGTCCTCATAGGCTTGTGAGGTCAAGAAATGTCAAATATTTGACAACAGAAGTCATAGCATAGTTATTTGGCAATGCCACATTGTGTAGAAGAAGCACTCACCGTTTTCCCAGATGTACAAAGAACCTTAACATCTTCACCCTTGACCTCCAAAACTTCCCCATCGATCCAGGCTACATCAGGATCCTCCACCCAAACAAGAGACCCAACACCTAAGCTGACTAAAGCAGCCTACAAAATGAACCACCAGATTGACCATCCACAATCTTACAAATATGTCAAAAAAATATTTGGAAGTATTTTTCATATATAGATGGGGCAAAATAAATCTAAAGCAAAATTACTATAATTCATCCATGAGTGGTAATCAGCTGCTGTAATAAGATTTTTCATCTGCTTGGAAGACCACATTCTAACAATTCTCTAGCATTCTATCAATAATATTTCTCTGTGAAATTATTATTTTTTAATGTCATTTCAACAATGTTTAGGGGTGTGGAAATCAAGCTTTGTCAACCGATCAGAGGAAGATCACACTGAAGTCCAATTCAGTCATGAGCTAATTGACCAGAACTAAAAACTAGTTTTAACTGAAACAAAACCACAAAACAAATGCAATACAAACATCATTAAAAATCCACACACAAGTTCAAATCAATGCCACGCGGATCATCAAATCCAGACCAGCAGACAACAAAAGGATAACAAATCGGTACCATTTCTCGTAAAACCGAAAGCAGATCAGATTCTCCTGCGGCGGCGTATCGATCAGCTCCGTGCTCAGATCAAATCAAAGCCGCAAAAAAACAATTCACTTCAAGCAGCAAATGCAAATGCAGACAGCAATGAGCTGTACCGACTTAACTTTCGCCGGTTATCCTCGGCGAGATCTATGAACTAATTGAGCTCTTTTCTTCTTCTTCTTTCACTCTTTCAGTCTCTCCTTTTTTATCTCCGATTCTTCGGAGAGGTTTTTGGGAGAGACAAAATGAGATTTTCGGCCCAGTTTTTTCCTGCTCCACCTTCCTTGCTTCGCTGCCCGGTTTTTTTGTTTTTCTTTTTCTTTTCTTTTATTTTCTCGGCCCACGATTTTAGGGGTTTGGTCCGAAAGATTAATATTGTTAATTATGTCAATTATGATAATGACAACTAATTCATTTAGGATTTAATGAAAATGGTCCAAATGGATGTTAAATGAAGTTGATTTCCGTGTCTGCCCTCCTAGATTCCTGCTATTGACTTGCCGCGTGTCAGCATACCATTGGATTCAAAAGAAAAATTACTTTTTCTACTCTTTAACTTTACTCTCTCACCCGAAATTTTGATGTTGATATTTTTCTTGGGACCTACAAAATAAATAGTATAACTCGATTCTAAATGTAACTAAGGTGAACAAGAAAATACTAACATACTAATCGAGCAACAGGTATTATACTTCTGTCATGTAATTTGATTGAAAAAAGTAAAATAAAAAAAATATAGATATAAGTAGTCACATTTTAAATGAATGATTTTTTGCTATAAAGTTAACGTGTTAGGTGATGCAACAAGTTAAATCAAGAATCTGTCTCAATAACTCCAAATTAATTGACAATATACGGTAATGGATTAAGGAATAAAACACAAGGTTGCTATTAATTGTTTGATAAAAATAACGTTTAGATATTGATAAGAAAAAACTTGTCATAACGATCTCTAGAAACGTCTCACATTAAATTAGTTGCCACTATTGGACATCCTCCTGTGGTCATGGTTAACATGCGTCTCTCGAGCCTATAATCCAAGTCCATCAAGTTGAGCTCATGCCTTGACCGACTACAATAATATTTATTAATTAACATTGATATTAGTAGTATAAGACATAACTAAATATGTATCTAATATTTAATTGTATTATATATTATTATTAACATTGATTGATGTTCATTAATCGATCTATAATGTAAAAAAAAAAATGTAGAATGCAGAATTAAAGAGCACATTCTAAACAAATAATTAACAAACACATCATAAAATATGGGGAAAAGATAATTTTGTGTGTAGTACAAAATGAAAATGATTTCTGAAGAGTTTCTAATAGCAATAGGGGCCTAAGTTTTAGGGCCTACAAGTCAAACCGTGTCTTTATGTTTCTTTCAAGTTTCACCATTTTTCTTGCTCTTTTAAGATGATTTCCAATGAAATAAAAATGAAAAAGAAAAAGTGATTTGACTTCTTTTTATTAAAAAAAATGTTTTTTTTTTCGATTTTCCAACATTTACTTGCACGAAAAGTTGATGTACAAAGTCATACTGTAGTTCATACAATAAGTTGGTGGAGTTCACAATTTTTTTTTAAAGCTTGTTAGATTATTTGTACCAACTAGTAATATGTAATATATCTTTTAATAAATTTATAAAAGGCCTTTTAAATTAGTTAATAGCAACACGTCATATAATGATTTATAATACTGAAGAAAATTTACATGACATGACTTTTTAATCATTTGTTATTTGTTTAAATATTCATTTTTGTTATAGCAATCGAAGCTCACAGTCATTACTCGAAAGTGTACTAGATTATAAAAGAGAAGTATATTGCACTAGAAAGATATTATGCGACGAGTTCAATCAAAATGATGTTTATCATATAGTAAATATTGTATAAGAATTTTTGTCGTTCTCTTTTGGATGCTACTGACTCTATTAGAATGTAGTATGTATTCATAACTAATTTCCCTCCACTGAGGCTCAAACTCACAACCTCCATATGGGAGTCCAACCCGAATGCCATATGAGTACAATGTGCTTGACACTCTTTTTCTTTTATTTATCTAAAAACATAATACACATCAATATATGATATACCCTTGATTTATGTTTATTTTTTATATGCTAATAAATATATACATTTTACTTTAAATATTTTACGCTTTAATTTTATTGGTCATTATCCCTACTTCTAACATTAGCAACTCCATTATTACCATACACATATACCCATCAATCCATCATATAATTTTCATATTCTTTAATTGTCATTTTATTAAAATTATTATATAATTAATTTAATTGTAAAATGTATTTTAATTAAATTTCTATTGTAAATCATATATGTTCACTGTAACCTTCCCTTAAGAAGAGCCACAAATGCGTCATCTGAGCACACGATGTTTGGCTAGTGAATACTAGTTTAGTATTATATATATTTTATTTTCTTTTGTATACCACTGACTCGATTACAATCATGGTTGTAGTAGCGTGTTAGGCACTAATCAGGCGCCCGGGCAGAGCCTAGCGCCGCCTCACCAAAAAAATAGTAAGAGACTTGCAGTTTGACAATTTTAATGAGGTTGTTTTCAACATTCAATCAAATAACAAATCCAAATAAATGAAATAATGATAATTCATAAGACATAACATCAAAATAATATTAAAAAAATAAAATACTCAAATATGAAATCATTCAAAGATTCAAAATATCAAAATAGTGTACAGACGGTTGAACCAGACGACATCGGACGAAATTGGTCAAAATCGGAAGAAATCGACCAAATCGGCGATTTCGCCGCCTAAGATCCCGACCGATTTTTGGGTGCCTAATAGTGAAAACGAAACGGTCCTAGGGGTACCGAGCCTGTTTTACAATAGTGATTACAATGTAGTATCTGTCCATAATTTAATTATAGAATGTATTTTAGTTAAATTTCTATTCATGGTAAATTATATATGTTTGTGTATTACTAACTTTTTTTTTTTGTTTCTCTATAATTTCAAATATGATGTTTAAAATTTAGGGAAAATGGCACTTTTTCTCCCTGTGTTGTTTACATATAGCATATTTCCCCCCTGTGTTGTTTATGTAACCACTTTATCCCCTCAATTGTTTTTGAAGTGGCTATTTCCCCCCTCTCCGTTAAATAAGTGTTAGGGCTGTTAAATATGAGGGTAAAAATGACATTTCACTTATTATTATTATTATTATTATTATTATTATTATTATTATTATTATTATTATTATTATTATTATTATTATTATTATTATTATTATTAATGGATCGGAAGGGCCGTTCACCGCCATCAACCACTCTCTAATTACCTGATTCCCTCTCTAGTCTCTTCTACCATTGATTTTAACCCTAATTCACCGCCATTGATTTTAACCCTAAGATGATGACAGGGAGATTTGAAATGCCAAGTGTCAAAGTACCAAACGTATAGAGCAAAGAAAAAAGCAAAACAAGCATTGACTGGCACTCAAAGTCAGCAATTTGAATTACTGAGGGATTATTGTGAGGAGTTGAAACGATGTAATCCAGGCAGCAGTGTCATCATTGACTTAGATGAAAATGATAGAGTACGTTGATGGCGGTGAACGGCCCTTCCGATCCATTAATAATAATAATAATAATAATAATAAGTAGTGAAATGTCATTTTTACCCTCATATTTAACAGCCCTAACACTTATTTAACGGAGAGGGGGGAAAATAGCCACATCAAAAACAATTGAGGGGAATAAAATGGTTACATAAACAACACAGGGGGAAAATATGCTATATGTAAACAACACAGGGGGAAAAGTGTCATTTTTCCTAAAATTTAATACATTAAAAAAATTGTAAAATATAATTTAGACAAAAAAAAATTGATTATTTTATTTATTAATATTTTAATATTAAAAGATTAAACATGAAATTTTGCGCATAACGCGTACAAAATGCCAGTTATCCAATATGTTTCATAATCCAGTGATTAGGGATTAATTGACGGCGTAAGGTTCCTAGGAAAGATCCGAAAGCCCGAATACGATCCGAGTGCCACCCGCCACCCGTCACCCTTTAGAGCATCCACATCAGTGGATATTATGGAGATAATATCAGATGAATTATCTTGGGTGGGGATAATAACAAATGTGGGGTGGGGTTATTTATCAAAATATTTGTTCTGCAAAATTGGGGAGAATGCAGAAAAAGAAGAAAAAGGAGGCTGCTGTGCGCGAAACGCGCACAGCAGCCTCCCACACGGGCGCGCCTGACCCTTTACTTTTTTATTTATTTTTTTGTTTTTTAATTTTTGATTTTGATTTTTTTATTTTTTTTTTCTCCCCTTCCCACATTCTCTCTCCTAATCACTCTTACATTATCTCCCAATTCTCCCCAACCATTGTGGATGCTCTTAACCTACGAGGAATCAAACTCCAGTAATAGAATGCCACGTCTGCACAGAATCATTGAGCTCAGCTGTCTGTCGGAGATCCGACCCCACGCTCCGGCAGAGCGGTGGGTCGAACTCCCCACGGCTATTCGTTCACGGAATTCCCATCTGTTTCCGAGAGCGCGTTGGTAGCATTGCGCGTGGGAGGTGAATAATGATGACCGCGTAATGTGAAGTACGTATCAGCACGTTCTACGTGTTTGGGACCCCACACAAGTTTTCGAAGCTTTTGAGTTTTAACGACGTGCGTTGACAACGATGTTATATAGTATGGGGTATCGTATTGTCTTATACTTTTATGCCGGAATCTGAATGGACGGCCGAGATGTTAGTACAGAGCGGTGTGATATGCGCCGTTGATATAGGGGGATTGAGTGAGATAAGAGGAAGCTGTATCACAGATTCACCGCCATGATTGATGGAACATAGAAATTTCCAATTTCTAATTATGGAAGTTTGACTTATTTTACTTTAAACTTTATATTTTAATTATAACTGATAATTAGAAAATTTTATATTTTTATCATTAAGTTATATCTTTGATACATACTACATAAATGGGAAATTATTGTATGGACCACGATTTACACATTGTTATATGGATCATAACAAAAAGTACATTTGTAATATAATAAAATATATTATTTGTGTACTGAATGTAAATTATTTAATAATATGGTATATATATTACATAAATTATATGTGTGATCATCTTTACCCTTTAAATTATGTGCAAAATGATGATTTTAATCCTTTGAGAAATTACTAATTTGATCCTTCAGGAATTAAAATCGTCTATTCATGCATAATTTAGTAGTTAAAAACAGTCATGCATAAATATGTACCACGAATATAACTACATAACTAAAAATACAAATTTGCCTTATAATTAACAAAAAAAAAAAAAAAAAAAAAAAAAAAAATCTTTTATCAAGACAATAAAATAAGTATAATAGAAAAAAACCGTACCTAAATTTTATATTAGATTCTGAATTTTAAAACGGTATTTTAGTGTTTTTAAAGTCACGCTAATCTTGTGGTCAAATGTCATGAAGTGACTCTTCCAAATAGAAGGTCATGGATTCAAGCCGCAGTGGGGGCAGTATTGAGCTTCAATAGGTTGAAAGTATATTTGAACAACTATTACAATGTACAAAAAAAAAAAAAAAAAAAAAAACAAAAAACAAAAAAAAAAGTCAAAGCGTGACTTATCTGAAAGTAGTGGGGTGTCAATTTACCTGTACATGGTCGGTGCAAGTACACAACAGTCGTAAACTACAACGTCCACGGCAAATCCTTGTGGACACAGACAGAAATTCAAGACTTTATGACCAAGCAAATCCAAAAGTTTATGTTACGTTATAACGATAGAGACATTGATATGAACACGCCCAGAAATTCAAGACTCCGACCAATCCTTAAGTTGCTGTCACTTTTGTAGGCCAACAATGTAACTCTGATCCTACTGGGGCACTCTACTTTAAAAACGGTGTCAAGCGAGGGTTGTTCCAGCGGGGAAGACTGCCTCTAGCTCCCAAGGCTCTGCACTTGATGGCTGCCTGTGATAGAACAGTTGAAAGAAATGTTTCGTCTCAATTAAAAGTTCCAACTAATAGTGCAACTCTACATTTATATATGCTCGAAAAGACAACAAACCACAAATGATAATCAGGCCGGTTAAGGGGAAGGGCTATACCACTTGACAGGCAAATGGCAGCATCTTTTGTGGTGGCATATCAGCACAGATAGCTGCAGAAGTATGAAGGGCTGTGAGATTATAGCATTGACAGTTTCAATTATCTTAAGACAAATGGTTGAACAAACAGTGTTTATATAGGATAACGTTTACATACAGTAAATAACTGCTCCGATGAATGCATCACCAGCACCGGTTGTATCAACTAATTCTGAAGGTGGTATATTTTCAGCTGTTCCTACATGCAACTTACCGTTAACCATCCCTATACCATTTGCACATAATTTTCCCACATTCTGAAAGATAAGCATACTCTAATCAGGTGTACAGAATATCACCATCTTCAATTTCACAACCAAGTAGAGTTTGATAATAACTTAATAAGTTTAGCTAAAAGTAGTTCCTAGATAAGCAACTCTAAGCTAAACACCTAATAATCCTAGTTACTTTTAGATACCCAAAACCAGAAGGAAAGTGTAAATAGAACACTTTTTAGCTGTGGAAATAATCCACCAAGATGAATGAGCATTACCGACGATATGCATGTGGGTATTGTTGCATTAGCATCTTCCCTTTGCTTCAGTTTTTTGTACAATTCATCTACATCCATTTCTTCAAACTGAGTGTTCTCTGTAAAAGTATGAAAGCAAGAGGATAAGAAAGCTAAAGCAACTTAATGCAACATAGCCGTCTCTTTCAAATGCTGTTTTTTTATGAATATGCCTAAAGGTTCAAATTTCAAACAGTGACAAAGAAATCCAGAGGTATGTATACCCGCTTCAGTCCTTTCTAACATTAAGCAACCACCTTCACCCAACGTCACAATTACGAATTTTACGTTTGACAATCTCAAGAGAATGGAAACAAGTGCAGTTGGAATAGAAGGGGCGTTAGTCCATGCCTGCAGGCCCAACAAACACATAGTTGTTCTCATTAGCAGATTAGCTACATATTAAAGAAAATAAATGGAAAAGTGAATGAATAAGTTGTGGGCCAATAGCTCAAGACTTTTAGCAACTGAAAAATGAAGTGGGGGAAATATAAATGGGAAAGTGAATGAATAAGTTGTGGGCCAATAGCTCGAGACTTTTAGCAACTGAATAATGAAGGGGGGGGTGGGGGGGATATAAATTAAGCAATCCTGATTATCCAAATGGATTGGGCATGTTCAATGGAAATTTTCCTTGTTCCAATTTCAGATTCAGATGGTGCATATTAAGAATTGGAACTAAGATAGGTATCAAACTATCAACCAAGGCTGCTGACCGCAGCAGAGGAACCAAGTCAATGCACTGAATAACTTGCCTGTGGAAATTTTGTTGAGCATACAACATAACTAGCAAAGTCAAGAATATCATCCAGCCCCTCCCTTAACCTTTCTGCATCAACTATAATAGGTATGCCCCTACTCTTTGCCTGCATTGGAATCCAAAACACATACAACATACATTCATATTTTCAATGTATGGTTGAGCCAGTGGAATTTGAAGGTGTTACGTACATTAAAAGTAACTTATATGGGTATGAAGAAAAGTAAATAAAAATGGTAATTACCTCCTGCGCTACAATAAAAGCAGTCTCATGCAGCCTTCCATCTAAGTAGACAATATTTGCTCCATCAAGGGCTGAAGACAATTTTGATTTGGGTAGATCATCAGGTATCATGGGTGGATATCCTGGAGTGAAAATGCACGTGCGAGTTTTTCTGGAACATGATAGAACAATGACTCTTGAAGAGAAATTGTAATATGTATGGCACAACCTCATAAAATTCCCCGCAGATTGCAGAGATTAACACACTCACTTTTGGTTGTCAACAATGACATATGTGAATGGTGAGTTTCCTCCTTTGGACACCTGAATTGAAAAGGAATACATTGCCACAATGATGTGTTGTCATGACCCTCTGAAGATTACAGTAATGTTTCAGATGAGTGTGTACACCAAGGAGTGCAGAGCTCACCACCATAAAAGATGTATCAACACCATCCCTTTCAAACTCATCAAGTATTCTTTCGCCATGTGAGTCATCAGCAACCTACTCAAAATTTCACAAGAAAGGGTAACATCTTCCCGGAAACCAGCCAGGAATACAGAAACACAACAGGGTGTCTAATGCTAGATTTCTATATACCACTGCAAATACACAAAATAATGTACAACGTGAAACAAATTTTACTGAATCGTCTTCTTTACTTCTCAGATCCTGGAATAACATTTATTTATTTATGCATAATAGCCATAAAGATGAGTTGTATCGCAGCCTTACTAACTCAACCTCAAACCAAACCGAATAAATGTCAGAATCCTTTGAAGGTAAGCATTAATGTATGATCCTGATATAACAAAAGGTTAATGAATAAAGATTGCCTGAAGGTAAGCACGTGCCCCTCAGTCCAAAAGGAGCTCTGGTCTTAGATTGATTAAAAACAAACTTTATCCATCCAACACTGTACTGCTCTTATTAGTTATTCCTAAAATTAGCACAACTCAACGAATGCAGTTACTGGCAACTTTCAATAACAAGTAAATGAAGTGAAAACCTTAGATATAATCCTTGGATTAAGACCTAGACGAGCTGCGCAGGTCAAAGCATTGCCAGTGTTACCACCTCCTTGAACCTATATATCAATCACACCCGAGTTAGACTCCATTACAAGATCAAAAGTCAAAACGATAGAATCAAGCTAAGAAGTAAGCACCGGCAGTATGGAAATTGTACAGTAAAAGTAAGAAGAGATCAGAGACGAAGAACCTCAAAACTGGTGCTCCGAATTTTATCATCCGGGTTAGGGAACGAAGCTACGGCAGCCAGGAAGTCAACTCCGGCCACTCCAACACCTAACTGCACAATATTCAAAACCAATTTCCATCGGATAATAGAAGCTGGAAAGTTTATGCACACAATCGATTGAACGAGCTCGAGAGGCAACTCACGACAATGCGGTTTTCGGGGAGCGCCGGATTCCACATTTTCAGCATTTCAGGTAGAATAACAGAGTAAGTAGCAAAGTTGCTAAAACACGCCAGAGAGAATGAAGATGAAGATGAAGGAGAAGGTGAAGATGAAAGATGAAGCCGTTATATGCTATAGCTTCGTCATGGCGGAAAGCACGATGAGTCCAAGTGTTCAACCGTCTGCCACCTCGAAGATATTTATGTCCCCCTTTTTATATAATTAAAAAATAGAGTTAATTCCAGCAAAGTTAGTCCGTTAAAATGAAAGTTAAGTAAACGTTAAATTAAGGGTTAAAATAGTGATTTCAATTGCTTGTATGAATTGGGGAGGGGATGGAACACTGACTTGAGAGTGTTCTTCCTGGGATGAAGATGAACTCATCCCCATCAAAGAAGAATATCCATTTCACCTGGAATTTGTACCTATGCAAGTAGTCATTAAATCAAGAATTGGTTGTGGTAATAGCCATCGAACTGCTCTTGCTCCTTCACGTCCTGTAATGTCAGGTATCCCTTCTCCATCCACGGCCAGAGCACCTCCATTACGGCAGAGTGTAGGACGCCGGCGTCGTAGAACACAAAATGGGATTTCTTGCCCATCAATCAGGCTTGGTACGCTACCCATTCTCGTACCCTATAAGGGCTCAAATTGCCGTACAGAGATGAACTGAAGTAAAGGTAGTCGTAGTTCGTCTTAGACGAGAACACAAAAGTGAAAGTGGAGAAATCCTTGCGGCGTCTCGCTCAGGGTGGGTGTCGCCGGCGCCGTTGGTGGGGCGTGGATTAGGAGCTTGCTCCAGATGTCAGCATCGCCGATGGGATCCGAGAACGTGCAATTCAGCACCACCACCGTGTACACCCGGCCATACCCCCAATCCGGGAGGATTTTCTCGCCGGCGACGGAAACAGAATCCCGCGAAATATCCGTCGAGGGATATTGAAGCCAGTCCCATCACGGCGAAGGTGTTGTAACCGCCTCAGTAAGACGACATGATAACGAAATTGTAAGCGGCGAAGCTAAATCCACTGAACCCCCGTTTAACGACGCCATTTTCAAGCACACGGTTTCACTCCACCGCGGTGGCATTCAAGACGGAGAAGCAGAAGAGGCAATTGGGGACAACCCAGGTAAACAGCTCCGGCGGTGCGGAGAAGCTTCAGCTCCAGCGTCAGCAAACGAGGGCTAAGACCAGGGAACGAACCAATTTTAGGGCTTCGACTGAGTTGTTGCGTATACAATGGGAAACGACGAAGTATTATCCAAATTAATTGGGCCTCGTTCAAATGACTATTTTACCTCGTAATTTAACATCCACTTAACTTTCATTTGACGGAAGAACCAACATTGGAAAGAATTCGAAAGTCAAGTGTCTAAATTGTCTAAATTAAAAGTCAGGGACCAATTATGGAAAATCAATATAGTCGGAGGACCATTGCTGGAATTGACTCTTAAAAAATATATATAATAATAGAATTAGGTTCTTGTGCGGTTAGGGTGCCCAGGTGCGGTTGTGCGATTTAATCTAGACTATTTATCTCGCTTCAATCAACGTCCAGGATTACCAAATTTTTTTAAAAAAAAAACGCCGGGTGACAATTTTATAATTTTTGCATCTAGGTCAAAATTAATGTGAGCGAATCTGTGATTAATGTGAATGTGTTTTGTATATAAGATGCTTGAGTTTTGTGCGTAAGGTGCGTGAGTTTTGTGCTTAATGTGTGTGGGGTTGTGCTTAACGTGAGTAGTTGTTAAAACTTAAAGTGTGGACTTTTGTGCTTAAGGTACGTGAGATTTGTTATTAATGTGAGTGGAGTTTGTGCTTAATGTGCGTAGGGTTTGTGCTTAATGTGTGTGAGGTTAGTGATTAATGTCCGTAGTTGTTGAAATTTAAAGTCTGTGAGTTAATACTTAAAGTGTGTGGGGTTTGTGCTTAATGTGGGTGAGGTTATGCTTAATGTGCGTGGGTTTTGTACTTAATGTGCGTGAGTTTGTGCTTAATGTCAATAGTTGTTGAAACTTAAAGTCTGTGAGTTAATATTTAAAGTGCGTGGGTTTTGTGCTTAATGTGCGTGAGGTTGTGCTTAATGTGTGTGGGTTGTGTACTTTATGTGCGTGAGGTTGTGCTTAAGATCTAACACTTAAGGTGCTGTTTCTATCACTGAAGGTGCGTCATTTTTAGCTTATGCTTCTTTCTTCCAGACACGCATTTTTTTTTTCATTGATTTGAGCCGTTGATCAAATTTAGATCAACGGCTCAGATCTAACCGCACAGCCGCACGGGAAGCTATACCTGCACCTGAACCCTTCCCTATAATAATATACTCCATAATTTTTTAAAAATGAATTATATATATTAACTACACTGATAACAGTTCGTTATGCTGTGCGGTTGCAAAAATGACGTCGTTTTGACGTTGACTTTAAAAAAAAAAAATCAGAATTGCATAACTACACGTCCATAATTTCATAACTATACATCCATAATTGCATAACTACACATCCATAACTTCATTACTATACATCCAGAACTGCATAACTACACATCCATAACTTCATTACTATACATCCAGAATTGCATAACTACACATCCATAACTTCATTACTATACATCTAGAATTGCATAACTACACATACATAACTTCATAATTATAAATCCAAAATTGCATAGCTTCATAACTATACATTCAGAATTGCATAACTACACATCCATAATTTCATAACTATAAATCCAGATTTGCATAACTATACATCCATAATTTCATAACTATACATTCAGAAATTATGCACAACATAATGCTGTTGACGGAAATCGAAATTAATTTTTTTTTTATGTTGGACGCACGTTTTTAATCAAAATGACGCCGTTTTTGCATCCGTGTGCACCATGCATGGTGCACACGGATGCACAGCATAATTTGCCAGTAACAGTGATGATTGAATAATATTTATACTTAAACTCACTTTTTACTCCAACTTTTACTTCATATTTTTATTCAATGCAAATCACTGCCGTGACCGAAGTTCAAACATTAGTTTCTCCTCTCAAATACTACCTACTGAACTATTAAGTAGTTAAATCCTTACGGACCAATTTAACTTTCGCTCGATAATAGTAGTTGATGCAAAAGATCATTGATCCATAAACATTATAATTACCTTCGTCTAATATATGGACTATTATAGCCCGTTTGGTTCGCTGGAAAAATTTGAAGAGAAATGAAATTGAAATTCCATGAAAATTGATATCATTGTTTGGTTGGTAGAAAAAAAAAATTACTGAGAATATAAATTCAATTATTTGGTTGAATTTGGAATTATAAGGAATAATGAATATAACGACAATTATACCCCCTGCACAATAATAACTACAATAATAATAATGGTAATTAAAAAAAGTTGGTGATGAGGGCATAATTGTCCTCCTTGTTTTTCATGGAAAGCAAAATATCAAACCGGGGCCAAGGAAAATGTTTTCCATCAAATCAAACAAAGGAAAATATAATTTTCCTCAAAATCAAGGAAAATATTTTTCATCCAACCAAACACCTCATTAGATCCTCACATTATGCATTTTTCTTGAGTTATTTTGGAATTTTTTTGCCGCATTTTGGTGAGGTAGAAGAGAGATAAGAGGGCTTTTTGTTTTAATATTGAGTTTTTTCGCAATTTTTTACACCAAAGAAAAAACACACACACATACACAGAGCAAGTCGCACGTGAGTATGATTGTCAATCGAGCGTGCGCGTTAGGGTGGTCACCAACTAACGATCACTGAACTCAACTTTTATGTTTTTCCTTTTTTCATTTTTTCATCTCCTTGTTAGCTGAACAAAGTTCGCAAAAAATAAAAAATAAAATATATACGCAATTACAATTATTGATGGTACGGTGTATGTTCTTAATAAGTAAAATTATTGTCATATGTGTGATGTGTTAAAAAGAAAATTAAAACTTTTCCGGTGGTGACGCCTTAAAAGTTTCTCTAGAAATAATTTTAAGTTTTTTTTTTTTTTTTTTTTTTTTTTTTTTTTTTTTTTGTGTGGCAACGAAAACAAAGCAGGTGGGGTTGTTCGCCGGGGAAGTACCAACTGGAGTGTGATGCTCAGGAAACATGTTATCTGCTGAGAGGGAAAGTTAAGGTTTATCCCAAGAACAACCAAACATCCTCGCCGGAGGTTGTGGAGTTCGGAGCCGGCGATCTCGTGATTATACCCAAAGGGCTTAGTTGCACTTGGTACGTGTTCGTCGCCGTCGACAAGCACTATACAAGCACTATAAGTTTGACTCCACCTAATATTAATCTCATCAACAATATATATAATATAATAGCGTCCATTATGCACTTCAATTCTTGCATCTTTGTTTTTTTTAGCTTCAATTCTTGCATCTTAATTTTCATTTTCATTATTATTATTATTATTATTATTATTATTATTATTATTGTTGTTATTGTTATTATTATTATTATTATTATTATTATTATTATTATTATTATTATTATTATTAAGATATTGCATCTTAAATCAATTCAAATGGCATTATATTTATTTAAGATATTGAATAATAATAATCTCAGACTTTAATAACATGTTTTTTAAAAAAAAAAAAAAAAGCAACCATCGCTGCATATATTAGAAATAAGCTGAAATAGCGTCTAGCGGGATAGAATCCTAACACATAGCAGTAGTCTGACTAAAAGCTGTAGAAGCTAGCATGTGAGCTATAAAGTTATCTGATCTAGAAACAAAACTAACTGAACAGAAATCGAAATAAGACATATTAAATTGCAACTATCTATGGCATAGCCGACGTACGAACGAACTGGACCCGTAGTGGGCGACAAATAATGCTGTAGAGGTAGACAATCCGTGAATAGCTTAATAGTCTGCTCCCCCCGATTCCTAAGCCAGGACAAGGCTTCTTTGCATGCGAAGGCCTCAGCCATCAACGGAGATAAGCAATCCGGGAGTTTGGCGTTGAAGGCCGCAAGAAATCCCCCATTCTCGTCCAAGAGAAAGGCACCAACCGAAGCCCTGTTCGTTGTGTGATGATAACCCGCATCTACGTAGCACAGACGCGGTGGCACAGCTAGTTGCGGCGTCTGGCAGCATGGATTGCAGCAGTGACGGGCGGCTCGACAGCGTTTTGTTGGCGGATGCTGCTCCGGTGTACCAGTCGCCAAGCATGCAATGTCGCAGCGGCTGTCGCAACGAGTTTCCTCGGCGTCGGCAAGCATGCATCCCATACCGCTCCGTTTCTCGCCCTCCAAATGTGATATAAAATTGCAGCTGTGAACATGATGTCATTAGTGTCTAAAACATTCATTACTTCACCAAACCAAGATTGAAAAATATTTGTCACAACATTGGGGATTGGAAGGTGGGATTCATTCCATATGGCCTTTGCAAAGTCACACAAAACCATGTAGAGATTGACCCTACATAGCACATGTAGGGTCAATCTCTACTCTCTTTATAAGAGAGTTTTTGGTAGTAGGGAGAATATCACTTAAGGCTCTCCATAGAAAGGTTTTCCATTTAGGGGATTTTAACTTCCATAGGGAGAGCCACTTATCAAAGGTGTCTCCATTATCAACATAATTTCCAACAATGTGTATGTAACCACTTTTTACTGAATAACAACATTTAGGATCCCAATGCCAAATATTAATATTATTGTTTATTATGTTTATTATTGTTTAGTACAAATATTAATTAATAATACGCATTAATACTAGTACTATGGATATTGGTGTAGATAATATCAAAGTGTGCCATGACACTATAAAAAGTCAAAATCTCTCAATGAATTGGATTAATATTTGATACACCGCCCCGTGTATAAGTGCTATACACCAACGGTGAACCACAATGCGACACATCATTAAAAAGAAAATTCAATGTGAACAAAGCCCTCCTTTGTAAATATATAACTTTCTAAATTATTATTATTTTAATTAAACAATTAAAATAATAATAATTTAGAAAGTTATATATTTGCAAAGGAGGGCTTTGTTCACGTTAAATTTTATTTTTAACGACGTGCCGCATTATGGTTCACCGCCGGTGTATAGCACTTATACACAGCTGTGCATCAAATATTAATCTGTGTAATTATACTTAAACTTTGGTAATTCCGTATTAAAATTCAAGAGATAAAGTGCAAAATAGGAAAAAATAATCATTTTATGGAACTCTCACCCTAATATAAAACGACAAATCTTCGTTTCACCATCAATCTCTTCCATTTGAGTTTGGGGCTGCTTCCCAGAAGCTCGACTCGTTTCGCCGTTCCTCATGCTCTCCACCTTTTCAGCTAGGTCATTTATCCTCCTATCTTGGTTATGAAGAAGCGTCGTCACACCCTCGAGAGATTTGGTGATGTTTGCTAGTTGCTCCTCCACCGAAGCCGCGTTGGTTGTCATAGCAGGCATGACTGTACAGACGCGAGTCCATTCCGGTGCTGCTTTCCTCAAAGGCGATGACTTGGGCATGGGGGATGAGCTTCCACTGCTAACAGTTCCTCCTGAAAGAGTAAGCGAAGGATTTCCACTTTCAGTAGCTTTATTTGAGGGAGTAGGAATCTTGCCACCAGCAGTCCCCGTTGTAGAAGATGAACCCTCATCATGTGTAGCTTTCTTTGAAGCGGTAGACTTGCTTTCGATCCTTCGGATGATATTACGCACCATGCTCTGAGTTTCAGCCACTTGCACTCCCATGTTCCTTGCTCGATTCCGAGTCATTGCACCTTGCATCTCGCGACTATCATCGGAACTGGCCACGGACGATGCCTTGGAGCGGGTAGCTTGAGCGTAAGTCATCTTGGACGTGGGAATTCTTGATGCCATTTGGATTCTTGTGAAGAGATGAGAGGTAGAGAGGTCCCACTGGGCGTGCCAAAATCTGTGAACAAAGAAAAGTTGTACAGGTATATATTCAAATTTCAAAATTGCGCGGGTACAAGATCTCTATCAAGAAGTCCTCTGATTCTTCACTTGGTTTACTTGATTTGAAAATTTGGCTGAAGGGCCTCCGGAACGCCGCTTGTTCTTCAATGAAGGGCTTTATTGCTTAATCTTCGTTGAAGGGCCTCCGGTCTTTAATCGGCTTGATCTTCAGTCCACTTTAGCTTAGCTGGTTGAAATATTTGATCTTCAATCCACCTAGCTTGATTTGATCTTCAATCCTCTAGCTTGGTTTGATCTCCAATCCAGAGCTTCTCTTCAATTCTTCAAGTGTTCTTTTAGTCTTCAATTGTGTGTTTTGGGATGTGAAATGAAGGCTCTATTTATAGGTGAAAGTCTAACCAAAATCCCTCAACAAACTCCCTAATATTAATTTAAGAGTTTATTACCGAAATGGTCCCTCGACTATTATGAAATTACCAATTTGGTCATCGACAATTTTTCTTACTCAATTAAGTCCCTGACTTTGAAAATGTTAACCATTTTGGTCCTCCGTTAAAATTCTATCCATAAACTTTTAAATTTAAGGGCAAAAAGGTAATTTCATTTATCTTATTTATTAAATCTTTTCTTCTTCTCCATCAAACAAGGACTTGCAGACATTAACATACACAAACAGAATGAACGATTGAAACACAAATAGGATCAAACAACGTGAAACAAATAAATCAAGAACAATAAACAAACATTTACAGCTAGTAGAAGCACAGAAGAAAAAGGAGAAGAAGACAGAATCATGCCTCAAAAAGAGTGAATTTTTGGGTAGCTCCAGCATTCGCTCCCATGAGAACAAGAAACCCAGACACCATTTCCCTTTCTCTGTTAAACCTGAGTGCTGACTGGCTCTCTCTAAGTCATGAAAATTGCAGAAAATTAGAAACTGCACTCCATCGATCAAGTACATTTCTTAGCACTACTCCACCAAACTTATTGTTTTTTTTTTAATACGTTGCAGGGTATATGATAAAATAACAGATCCATTACTTGTCATTGTGCAACTTTTTTGCATATGAGAGTAAGCTTGGTTTTGCGTCTGGAAGTAGGCATCGAAATAATATCAAACTTTTTTAGCCTCCGAAAGGGAGTGGCAGCAACTGCAATACCAACAGTTGCCCGTTGCCAAAGGGGGAAAGGTATATGTTGATCAAAGAAAAGAAAGTCTATACTTCATTCTCAGTTCTACTACATTCATGGTGCCTAGAGGATATTTTGGTGATTTTTACATAATCAGAGGACCATTTTAGGTAAGAAAAGTTTGCAATTACATCATTGCCCTCAAAATACACGGACAGTCCACGGTAATGTTAACGGAGAACCAAAATGGTTAACATTTTCAAAGTCAATGACTTAATTGGGAAAGAAAAATTGTCAAGAACCAAATTGGTAATTTCGCAATAGTCGAGAGACCGTTTCGGTAATAAACTCTTAATTTAATTTAATTAATTAATTATCTAATACAACGAACCTTGCCAAAATCAAGTCTAGGTCCACTATTCTATCATCTAATTCAAATTCAAATTAAATTATAATTATCTAATTCAAATATAATAAAATTATATTATATTTAAATTATAATTATAATTATAATTCAAATTCAAATACGAAATGGGCTTAGACCAATTAACTAATTAATCCAATAGCCCAAACCAAATTTAATTGGACTAATTAAATCAATTTAATTTCTATGATCCAATAACAATTTCAACATTGGCCCAATCACATTTTATCAATCCACTTGTCGGGTTCAAATTTTCTATGTCCACAAGTATATTTGAACAACTATTACAATGTACCAAAAAAAAAAAAAAAAGTCAAAGCGTGACTAATCTGAAAGTAGTGGGGTGTCAATTTACCTGTACATAGTCGGTGCAAGTACACAACAGTCGTAAACTACAACGTCCACGGCAAATCCTTGAGGACACAGACAGAAATTCAAGACTTTATGACCAAGCAAATCCAAAAGTTTATGTTACGTTATAACGATAGAGACATTGATATGAACACGCCTAGAAATTCAAGACTCGGACCAAAATCCTTACGTTGCTGTCACTTTTGTAGGCCAACAATGTAACTCCGATCCTACTGGGGCACTCTACTTTAAAAACGGTGTCAGGCGAGGGTTGTTCAAGCGGGGAAGACTGCCTCTAGCTCCCAAGGTTCTGCACTTGATGGCTGCCTGTGATAGAATAGTTGAAAGAAGTTTTCCGTATCAATTAAAAGTTTAAACTAATAATGCGACTATACATTTATATATTATATATTATATATGCTCAACAAGACAACAACCCACAAATGAAAATCAGGCCGGTTAAGGGAAAGGGCAATACCACTTGACAGGCAAATGGCAGCATCTTTTGTGGTGGCATATCAGCACAGATAGCTGCAGAAGTATGAAGGGCTGTGAGATTATAGCATTGACAGTTCCAATTATCTAAGACAAATGGTCGAACAAACAGTGTTTATATAGGATAACGTTTACATACAGTAAATAACTGCTCCGATGAATGCATCACCAGCACCGGTTGTATCAACTAATTCTGAATGTGGTATCTTTTCAGCTGTTCCTACGTAAAGCTTACCGTTAACCATCCCTATACCATTCGCACATAATTTTCCCACATTCTGAAAGATAAGCAGACTCTAATCAGGTCTACAGAATATTACCACCTTCAATTTCACAACCAAGTAGAGTTTGATAATAAGTTTAGCTAAAAGTTGTTCCTAGATAAGCAACTCTAAGCTAAACACCTAATCATCCTAGTTACTTTTAGATACCCAAAACCAGAAGGAAAGTGTAAATAGAACACTTTTTAGCTGTGGAAATAATCCACCAAGATGAAAGAGCATTACCGACGATATGCATGTGGGTATTGTTGCATTAGCATCTTCCCTTTGCTTCAGTTTTTTGTACAATTCATCTACATCCATTTCTTCAAACTGAGTGGTCTCTGTAAAAGTATGAAAGGAAGAGGATAAGAAAGCTAAAGCAACTTAATGCAACATAGCCGTCTATTTCAAATGCTGTTTTTTCTAAATGAATATGCCTAAAGGTTCAAATTTCAAACAGCGACAGAGAAATCCAGACTCCAGAGGTATGTATACCCGGTTCGGTCCTTTCTAACATTAAGCAACCATCTTCACCCAACGTCACAATCACGAATTTTACGTTTGACAATCTCAAGATAATGGAAACAAGTGCAGTTGGAATAGAAGGGGCGTTAGTCCAAGCCTGCAGGGCCAACAAACACATAATTGTTCTCATTAGCTACATATTAAAGAACAGAAATGGGAAAGTGAATGAATAAGATGTGGACCAATAGCTCAAGACTTATAGCAACTGAAAAATGAAGGGGGAGGGGTGGGGGGGGGGGGGGGTAATATAAATGGGAAAGTGAATGAATAAGTTGTGGGGCAATAACTCGAGACTTTTAGCAACTGAATAATGAAGGGGGGAAAATATAAATTAAGCAATCCCGATTAATTAAAAACAAACTAGGATTCCAAATGGATTGGGCATGTTCAATGGAAATTTTCCTTGTTCCAATTTCAGATTCAGATGGTGCATATTAAGAATTGGAACTAAGATAGGTATCAAACTATCAACCAAGGCTGCTGACCGCAGCAGAGGAACCAAGTCAATGCACTGAATAACTTGCCTGTGGAACTTTTGTTGAGCATACAACATAACTAGCAAAGTCAAGAATATCACCCAGCCCCTCCTTTGACTTTTCTGCATTAACTATAATAGGTATGCCCCTACTCTTTGCCTGCATTGGAATCCAAAATACATGCAACTTACATTCATTTTTTCAATGTATGCTTGAGCCAGCAGAATTTGAAGGTGTACATACATTAAAAGTAACTTATATGGGTATGAAGAGAAGTAAATAAAAATGGTAATTACCTCCCGCGCTACAATAAAAGCAGTCTCATGCACCCTTCCATCTAAGTAGACAATATTTGCTCCATCAAGGGCTGAAGACAATTTTGATTTGGGTAGATCATCAGGTATCATGGGTGGATATCCTGGAGTGAAAATGCACGTGCGAGTTTTTCTGGAACATCATAGAACAATGACTCTTCAAGACAAATAGTAATATGTATGGAACAACCTCATAAAATTCCCCGCAGATTGCAGAGATTAACACACTCACTTTTGGTTGTCAACGATGACATAGGTGAATGGTGAGTTTCCTCCTTTGGACACCTGGATTGAAAAGGAATACATTGCCACAATGATGTGTTGTCATGACCCTCTGAAGATTATAGTAATGTTTCAGATGAGTGTGTACACCAAGGAGTGCAGAGCTCACCACTATAAAAGATGTATCAACACCATCCCTTTCAAGCTCATCAAGTATACTTTTGCCATGTGAGTCGTCAGCAACCTACTCAAAATTTCACAAGAAAGGGTAACATCTTCCAGGAAACCAGCCAGGAATACAGAAACACAACAGAGTGTCTAATGCTAGATTTCTATATACCACTGCAAATACACAAAATAATGTACAACGGGAAACAAATTCTACTGAATCGTCTTCTCTACTTCTCAGATCCTGGAATAACTACATAATAGCCATAAAGATGAGTTGTATTGCAGCCTTACTAACTCAACCTCGAACCAAACTGAATAAATTTCAGAATCCTTTGAAGGTAAGCATGAATGCATGATCCTGATATAACAAAAGGTTAAAGATTGCCTGAAGGTAAGCACGTGCCCCTCAGTCCAAAAGGAGCTCTGATCTTCTTTTTTTTTATTATTATTATTAATTTATGTAAACCACGAGGTGGTCCGGCTCCGGGAGGCACGGGAGCTGGCCCGAGGGAATTGAACCCGGGTTATCCTAGAATTCACCCCAGAAAGAGAGCTCATTTGCCCCTTGAGCTACCCGTTATGTTAAAGGAGCTCTGATCTTAGATATACTCAAACACTGTACTGTTCTTATTAGTTCTTCCTAAAATTAGCACAACTCAACGAATGCAGTTACTGGCAACTTTCAATAACAAGTAAATGAAGTGAAAACCTTAGATATAATCCTTGGATTAAGACCTAGACGAGCTGCGCAGGTCAAAGCATTGCCAGTGTTTCCACCTCCTTGAACCTATCAATCACACCCGAGTTTGACTCCATTACAAGATCAAAAGTCAAAAACGATAGAATCGAGCTAAGAAGTAAGCAACTAAGCACTGGCAGTATGAAAATTGTACAGTAAAAGTAAGAAGAGATCAGAGACGAAGAACCTCAAAACTGGTGCTCCGAATTTTATCATCTGGGTTGGGAAATGAAGCTACAGCAGCCAGGAAGTCAACTCCGGCCATTCCAACACCTAACTGCACAATATTCAAAACCAATTTCCATCGGATAAAAGAAGTTGGAGAGTTTATGCACACAATAGATTAACGAGCTCGAGAGTCAACTCACGACAATGCGGTTTTTGGGAAGCAGAGTCCACATTTTCAGCTTGAAACTTCAACAAATTTCAGGTAGAATAACAGAGGACATAGCAAAGCTGCTAAAACACGCCAGAGAGAATGAAGATGAAGCCGTTATATGCTATAGCTTTGTCATGGCGGAAAGCACGATGAGTCCAAGTGTTCAACCGTCTGCCACTTTGAAGATATTATCCTCCCATTTTTATAAAAAATAAAAGGAATAAGGGTTAAATAAGACATCCAACTACACACTAAAATGCAATTAGATCACTGAACTCAAAAGACCAACAATTAGATCCTGAACTACACAAATTTATTTAATTTAACTTAAAATGACTTATTAATGTGATGATGTGTGGGATTTTTTATTTAAAATAATTTTTAAAATTTTATTTTAATAATTATAAATAAAATAATTATTTTAAATTAAAAAAAAAAAAAAAAAAAAAAAAAAAAAAAAAAAAAAAAAAACAGCCCGCCGGCTCCCTTCGTCTCCGGGCCCATCCAGCGGTTATCTTCGGTCTCCCTGTTTCTTCTCTAGAGAGATAAGCAGAGAGATAGAGGTGAGGAGAGTAAACAATAGACAAGCAAGCAGTCAAGCATCAATTGATCTATCTATGCAAACCGGGAAAACCACGGCGATCGTCGAAGGTTGGAGTCGATTCACTGGAGTAGGAGCGCAGGATTATGAGCTGTTTTGACAAGCTGCGGTGTTCTTCGAATCTCAGCCGACTTATTGCCGGCATTCTCATTTTTATGCTCTATCATTCCTTCCAATTAATCTCCAATTTCTTACTTCCTATACATCCGTAATTTGAGCGAACTCACCCTCCTACCACATCCAATACCCCATCTCCTTAATTTTCTTCTCGCAATTTTCACCAATATTGTCGAATTCTGACGAGGGAAACCCTACCGATTTTCGAATCGCGCACTGCTCGGAAATTTTCATGGATCTCAAAGATTATTCCAGATTTACTAGTTATTTGCTTGATGGTAACTGTCTTAAACTTGAGATTTTTTACGATTGAAATTTACCTTGGTTTCATAAAAAAAATTTATTTTATTTATAATTATTAAAATAAAATTTTAAAAATTAATTTTAAATAAAAAACCGACACGTCATCACATTAACAAGTAAACAAGTCATTTTAAGTTAAATTGAATGAATTTGGGTAGTTCAGGGACTTAATTGTAGGTTTTTTGAGTTCAGTGGCCTAATTGCATTTTGGTGTGTAGTTGAATGGCCTATTTGACCCTTATTCCAAAATAAAATAAAATAAAGTATAAGGTTCAAATTAGCCATTAAACATAACCTTAAAATGCAATTAAGTTACTGAACAAAAAAAAGTGTAAATAGGCTACTGAACACTCAAAAAACTTAATTAGTCCACCGAACATTTCAAATGTATGCAATTTCACCGAATACCAGGTTACATGCTTACATGCTAGCTGAGTTGACATTTTTAAATAATTTTTAATAAATTTTAATAATAAGTTTTTAAAAAAAAATTGAAAAAAAAATAATAAAGAAAAGAAAACTACGAGGTGGCCGTCGTCATTTTTTTTTTCAAATTTATTATTAAAAATGTCAACTCAGCTGCTACGTAAGCAGGTAACCTGCTAAAATTGATGGTAATCTGCTATCAGGTGAAATTGCATATATTTGGAGTGTTTAGTGATCTAATTGCATTTTTTTTTTCGTTCAGAGATCTAATTGCATTTTCAAGTTACGTTCAGTGATCAATTTGAATCTTATTCCAAAAAAAAAAAAAAGAATAATAATAAAACACAATTACAAAAAAAAAAAAAAAAAGAATAACAATATAATAATATATTCCATAATTTAAATTAAAAAAAAAAAGAATTATATATATTAACTACACTGATAACACTGTAACAGTGATGATTGAATAATATTTAGAGCAAATTACAATTTTGGTCCTATGACTATAGGGAGCGTGTTAATTTTGGTCCGTGACTTTTAAAACTAACAATTTAGTCCTTTAACTATGCTTTTCTTAGCAGATTTGGTCCTTACGGCCAAATTACCGGTGAATTTTCGCCGGAAAAACGTAACCCATTTTAAATTAAATATAAGTGGGGGCAAAATGGTCACTTTAACTTTTTTTAAAAGGTAAAATTCCATCTCTGCGAATACTTTCTCCGATCACCACCGCCGCCTCTGCGAAGGCATCATCTCCGGCGAGTACCTCCGTCTTCGCCTTTGCGATAAAACCCAAGATGCAATTGCCGAAGTAATTTCTGATTACAGGTGGGTGGAAACATGCCTGGTAATGGGCCGGCCTAGAAAAGTAGTTGTCTCCGTCCTCGTCCTCGTTATTATCTGTGTTTGTCTCGATTCACAATTGTACAAAGCAATTCCAAACGTACGAAGCAATCATGGTAAATGACGATACATGTGTAAGATTGGGTCGTCACCGGAAGATGGAATTTTGCCCCTTTTTAAAAAGTTAATATAAAGTTATTATTACTTGCCGCCATTGTCGTCCTCTAGAAGCTCACGCAGTTCACATGTTGCGAAATTTAAAGAGTAGGAGGTTCCGCTGTAAGCTACTAACCAAAATAAGTGGAGTCAAAATGGTTTCTTTTGGAATCAGAATGTGTATGTGGGCTTTCGGAATCGGAATCGGCTGCCCCTGAGACAAACTCCTGCTAGCATAACCCGAAAGAAAAAAAAAAAAAAAAAACTCCGGCTAGCAGGTGAAGGAAAGAGATGAAAGGGACCTGGAATGACCAATTTGCCCCTATTATTAAATAATTAAAAATGCTTTACGTTTTTCCGGCAACTTTTCGCCGGTGATTTAGCCGGGAGGACCAAATCTGTTAAAAAAAAATATAGTTAAAGGACTAAATTGTTAGTTTTAAAAGTCACGGACCGAAATTAACACGCCCCCTATAGTCATAGGACCAAAAGTGTAATTTGCTCTAATATTTATATCTACATTCACTTTTTACTTCATATTTGTATTCAATGTAAATCACGTTGTCGTTGCTGAAATTTGAACCTTAGTATCTTTTTCTCAAATATTACATGCGAAACCATTGAATTAAACATGTGTAGGCGAGTTTAACTTTTACTCGAGAATAGTAATTGATGCAAAAGATCATTCATCCATAAACATTATTGTTTTAAAATGTTAAAATTTAAAAAGCTGCTCAAAATAGCTTTTTCAATCAACTTTTTGAGAAAGTCATTTTGCATGTAATTAGCTAACAGTTAATTTACCAAACACTTTTCTGCAATCAGCTAATATTATCAACTAGTCAAATAATCAAACCCGCTAACCCAATCAACTAACAATCATTTACCAAACACTCCTATAATTACCTTAGTCTAATATATGGACTATTAGATCATCTCATTGTGCATTTTTATTGAGTTATTGGCTCTGTTTGGCAAACCTAGCTGAAAAGCTATAAGTTAGGAGCTATAGCTGAAAAGGAGCTGAAAGCTGAAAAGCTATAAGCTCGGAGCTGAAAATTGAAGAGCTGTTAAGCTAGCTGTTATGATTGAAAGTGTTTGGTAAAATTAGCTTTTTGATAATCTGATAAATGTAAAAAGACTAAAAAGGACATCTTCATAAAATTTAAATTAGTTTGTTTACATATTAAAATTTAACATTTCGTCTACCAAAAAAAGTAAACACTTTTTAAAATAAAACTATTAGCATGATCATGATCTAGCATCCCATAATGAAGTAGCAATATTGTTGCGAATCTCCTTCATCTACATAGAGGTGTGACTTAAATTTTCGTTGATGGAGATATTACTACTTGAATCTTGAAATTCATCGGGCGGTCTGTAATCTGGATGCTGCTCAAGCATATTAGACATCATGTCATCTTGTGAATTCTTCCGAATATAATTATGTAGTGCAAATGTGGCCATAATAATATCAATTTGAGTCTCCTCACTAAATTGCGGAATTTTAGCAAGTATCTTCCATCTCTTATTCAATACTCCAAACGATCTCTCAATACAACTTCGAAGAGAAGAATGTGCACGATTGAATGTTTCTTGAGCATTAGTTGGCGGCTCTGGTTCAAATTGAAATTGAAGCCATATTGCTAATTTAAAAATAATAATAAAAAAAATAAAATAATAATAATAATAACAATAATAACAATAATAACAATAACAAGAATAATAATAATGATAATAATAATGATAATAATAATAATAATGAAGAAGAAGAAGAAGAAGAAGAAGAAGAGAAGAAGAAGAAGAAGAAGAAGCTAAAGTTTCAACATAATTGTTTAGCAGGAAACAAGACTAAGGAAGGGATTGACGTGAAAGTTGGGATAGGAGAAGAGAAAAAGTTTTAATTCATAAGGTTAAAATATGTCATTACTTTAAAATAATAAGGGTAAATATGGAAAAAAAGTTAGGAAGCTAGTAGCTTATTTTGAAACGCTACCTAAAGTAGCGTTCTAAAATAAGCTCTTATTTTAAGTTAGGAACTTATTTTGGGAGCATTACCAAACAGAGCTTAAAGCTTATTAGTAGCTTAAAATAAGTTATAAGCTCCTAGCTTAGCGTTGCCAAACAGAGCCATTATGGGGTGTTTTCTCCGCATTTTGGTGAGGTAGAAGAGAGATAAGAGTGTTTTTTGTTTTAATATTGAGTTTTTCGCAATTTGTTACATCACACACATACACACAACAAGTTGTACGTGAGTATGATTGTCTATTCAATAATTATGGAGTTATATTATATGACTTCTAAATTCTGCTCCATCAATTATAATCTCTGATGTAGAAATAAGACATTTTCATTTTGTGAGTCCAAAAAAAAGGTTATCTGTCTCAAAAGGTTGAATCCCCAACCATAAGGGTCCCCTATACTCCGACCCGACAGAGCATGTGAGAGGATGTAAACCACAGTGACTCAATGATTCAGTAGACAGTGACAAATGCCGGTGTGCACAAGAAATCTGCCAACTTTGGACATAATTCCCACACTGTCGCCGCCAAGGTTCGTAACACACTCACTGACGCTGAAAGGCTGATACTGAAGGTGAGAGGCAACGGCCGGAATATGAGAAGCAGGAGATTTACTAGGACACGAACAGCTTTAACCGGAACTCCACAAACAGGCTCCCGAGCTAAGTCTGTGCGGGTAAAAAAAGAAAAAAGTTATCTACCTCCAGAATTTGTAGGAGAGAATAAAAATTGAGAATATAAGTAATATATATGTTCCATAATTATGTGACCAGGCCACAACATGGTTGGACGTGATAGGTATTATTAGTCAAAGAATATATTGTTGGAAATTGTACAACATCCATATTACATTATTACTTCTCCCAAATAAAATCCAAACAAGTCTCAAGAGAAGTGAGTGCAGCAGACTTATACCAAACTCAGAAAATCATCAAATATTTCACATCTCATCTCATCTCATCTCATCTCCAACTTAACTTCCATGGCCGCTGAGTCCACCTCGTCGCCTCCAAGAATCATCGTCCAGAAAAGCCTCTCCGATGCTCAGCTCTCTCAGCTCCGCATCCAATCTTGGCCCAAGTAAGTCCATCCCCTTCTTACTTTTTCGGTACTATAACATAATACTAATCCACGCCCTAAAAGTTTCTCTAGGAATAATTTAAGTGTTTTTTTGTGTGTCAACGAAAACAAAGCAGGTGGGGTTGTTCGCCGGGGAAGTACCAACTGAAGTTTGATGCTCAGGAAACATGTTATCTGCTGAGAGGGAAAGTTAAGGTTTATCCCAAGAACAACCAAACATCCTCGGCGCCGGCGCCGGCGCCGGAGGTTGTGGAGTTCGGAGCCGGCGATCTCGTGATTATACCCAAAGGGCTTACTTGCACTTGGGACGTGTCCGTAGCCGTCGACAAGCACTATAAGTTTGACTCCTCCTAATATTAATCTCATCAACAATCAACAATCAACAATATAATATAATAGCGTCCATTATGCACTTCAATTCTTGCATCTTAATTTCCATTTTCATTATTATTATTAGGGGAAATTTCAATCTTGGTCATATGACTATAGGGGCTTTGTTAATGTTAACACTTGACTTTCAAAAGTGTCAATTTAGTACCTTGAGTATATAATTTTTGTCAATTTTGATCACTCCGGTCAAATTTCGCCAGAAAAAAAAGGACAATTTTACCAGACTTCAAAAGATGGTTTTGCCCCTCAGATTATAGACTAAATGAAGAATTAAGTTTTTCCGGCGAAATTTGGCCAGCAATTTAACCGGAGTGATCAAAATTGAAAAAATTGCATAGTCAAGGTACTAAATTGACACTTTTGAAAGTCAGGTGCTAAAATTAACAAAGTCTCTATAGTCCTATGACCAAAATTAAAATTTTCCCATTATTATATTAAGATATTGCATCTTAAATCAATTCAAATGGCGTTATATTTATTTAAGATATTGAATAATAATAATCTCACACTTTAATGTTAATTCCTTTTGCTTCAATCTAAAAACCGGATGACGTTTGAGAATTTTGACAAACGAGTATTAAAATTATAACAATTTTGTAAAATTATCAATATAATTTACCATTTTAATATTATAGTACGAAAATGATTAATAACATATAATTAGATAAGTAAATATCAGGACTATGTGGTCTAATGGTACCCGGATTGGCCTTCCATTTGGAAGGTTGTGAGTTATTGGCTCTTGTGTTTCAGTAGGTTGAGAAAGTATATGAACAATATTACAATGTAATAGAGCTAGTAGCATTCAAAAAAGATAAGTAAATTAAGATCGCTTTCTTACTAATTAAAGTTGTTTAGATGAATAGATTGAGATAGGTGTTTGATTGTTGCATGACATGAATACATGATAGAACGAAATTGATGATGTGTACTGTATGCATCTTTGCGGATAGTCAAAGCAAAGGAGAAAGAAGTTGACAAAAACGGTATGTTCAGACTCAACTACTCCTCCATTAAAGGCAACTTGGACTGGTAAATGCATTCATTTTGTCGGCATGCAATCATTGCGCACCTGCATGGGCTAAATATATATATTTTTTAACACTATTAACTCTATGTAGTAACTATTCTACTTTCTCTAACTATGAATGAATTCTCCACTACCAGAGTTTGATCCTATGACATTCCCTCAAGGGGAGTTACAAATGTATCATCTGATCACAAGGTGCTTGACGCATGGGGCTAAATATATATTCCGAGTTTATTATCGAAATGGTCTCTCGACTATTGCGAAATTAATAATTTGGTCTTCGATAATTTTTGTGCCCGACCAATTAAGTCATTCACTTTGAAAATGTTAACCAATTTGCTCTTCTGTTTATTTTATCGTTAGACATCCGTTAACTCGGGACCAAATTAATAATTTTGCTATAGTCAATGGATCTTTTCGGTCATCACATGCACCATTTTTTCCAAAAGTTAATTATTGAAAAGGTCCATTTGACTATAGCAAAATTACCAATTTGATCTTGAGTTAACGGATGTCAAACGGCAAAACAAACGGCGATGACTAAAATAGTTACAATTTTTAAAGTCGAGAACTTGATTGGACAAAAAAATTGTCGAAAATCAAATTGATAATTTCGTAATAATCAATGTACCATTTCGGTAATAAACTCTATATACTCCCTACTGGGTTTAGACACTAAAATTGTTATAAATGATTCACTATATATATATATATATATATATATATATATATATATATATATATATATATATATATATATATATATATATATATATAGAGAGAGAGAGAGAGAGAGAGAGAGAGAGTGTAAGGTTCCCGTGCGATTGAATACTTCCCGTGCGGTTGTATGAGTGATTAATGTGCGTGAGGTTTGTACTCATTGTGCGTGAGTATTGTGCTTAATGTGCCTGAGATTTGTACTTAATGTGTGTGGGTGTGTAATGTTAATGTGCGTGAGTTTTGTACTTAAGGTGTGTGAGTCTTGTGCTTAAGATGCGTGAGTTGTGTGCTTAATGTGCGTGTGTTCTTCATCCACTTCTGTGAAAATTATGCGCATCCACTGGACCACTGCTGCATTTTCTTCTTGTTTTTTGTTTCGAAGTGGTGGAGGACTGTATTTTGTCTTGTTTTTAACATAAAATCAGAACATCCATATGTGCGTTTACATATATCCATCCATTCACACACAATCAGGAAAGGTTCACCCACCTTCTCTTTCTGTTCTGCTTCCTTTTGAGCTCGTAATTCTGAATTCAAGTCACGCACATTAAGCACAAACTTCACGCATATTAAGCACAATACTCAGGCACATTAAGTACAAAACTTACGCGCATTAACATTACACATTCACGCACATTAAGTACAAATCTCAGGCACATTAAGCACGCGACTCACGCATATTAAATATATAACTCACGCACATTAATCTACCGCACGAGAAGCCACAAATGCACATGATCCCTTCCATATATATATATATATATATATATATATATATATATATATATATATATACACTTACTTAAATTAATTCTCAAGATTGGGTAGTGAAGATCAACAGTTGTATTCTTTTTTCTTTGATTAAGTTTTAATATTATTTTTGTAATTAAAGGGTTTTAAATTTTAATTAAGTAGCTAATGCAACACATAAACATACGTATATCATGTACTATTTTTTCTCATTACTCATTAGGTATTTTCTACCGAGTTTTGTAGTGAGATTTTTAGTGTATGATATAGTAATGTCCAATGAGAGTGTTAATAATAATTAGATGTCACTAGTACAGATTTGACTAAAAAAACTAGACTATTAGCGTCTGTTGTTTGAAAAAGAGATGTTAAAACACACACAGTGGTATATTTGTAATTTTTTAAATAACATATAGTATCAGTTGTACCAAGTGAAGTGGACATTATTAGAGGCATTATACTGTGATAATACATCTTCATCATTATTAGTCTTATAGTCATATTTAAACTTTGTATATCTTGTATCTAAGTAGACTGAATGGTAATTAATAAGAGGATCCATTATTCTCTTGTCTTTCTCTTTATCTAACTACTTTAGTGCAATTGAAACTATACAAGTATACAACTATATAGTCACGCAAGAATACATCTAGTTTTATAACAGTATAACACTAATTTAAGAACTTAAAATTGAGAAACGGAATTACTTTGGCTGCATGCCTTGTTTGGAAGGGGTTGCCCAATCCTCTGTTTATTTTCACATAATTAAGTATTATGTCTACCTCTATATATTTTCGTATAATTAAGTATTATGTTTATCTTTTAGTTAAAGATGAAGTGGCTTAATTGATACATTATGTTGGTGTTAATGTGTTATACTAAAAATCGTGAGATCAAAACTCTTTGAGTTCATGCTCAATAAATTCTTACACTTTAAAAAGTAATTTTTTGATTTGTGAGGATTTATTTATATTTTAAAAATCTATTTATAGTTGATTAATTTAATACTTATATTTATAAGGAATTTTTACATGCGACTGTAATCTAAAAATTTTTATTATATGTCATCGTCTTTAAATTATTTTAAAAAAACTTTAAAAATTAATCTAGGTTAAAGAATTCAAGTTTACTGACTAAAAGAAAATGTATTTATAACTATAATATCAATATAGGAGATGCATGATTTATAATGTGTTTTATATTTGAACCATTTTATCTAATGAATTATTTTTCATATTTTGTTACGAATATTTTATTGCGTTTTGAAATATTTAGATTTGTCATCCCCAATCAAGAATATTTTAAACTTTGTCGCTGTTTGAAAGTTTTGTTTTATAAATTTTTATTAATAAATAATTTACTATTTATTATGATAACAATGTTATTCTTTGTAAGTTTACTTGATTTTAAATTGTTTATTTATTTTTATAAACTATAATTATTTATTTATGAAGAGATTGATGCGGTTATTGATTATTTTGCATTTAGAAACACACTTATTTTTTTTTTCATATATGTTAATTTAGGTAGTGCCTATTTTTATTGACATGTTCTGGGTCTATAAAATGATAGGACCGAACCTGCCGGCAAAAATTCATTACTTGAGTTATAATTTTCGTACCTAGAAAATTATAAGTTTGATGTTTGTCAATTCTATATTAATATAATCAGATGTACTACCTGAGTTAGGTTCGAATTATTTATTAATTATAATGACATTGTTTGGATTAAGAATGGAGAATTGGCACAGCACAATGATAGAATCGTTATGCTATGGACCCGTGTCTAGCCTACAGTGTGGACACGGTAACGGTGTCGTTAGTGACACCGTTATCTTTTATTTTTTTTTTAAATTTCAGACTGCTTCGTTATAGGAGCATGTGTTCATAATTTTATCACTATATGTTCATAATTGTAAGTTCATAATGTCAGAGTTATGTGTTCATAATTTCATAATTGTACATTCATAATTCCATAACTGTACATTCATAATTCCGTAACTGTACATTCATAATTCAATAACTGTAATTTCATAATTTTTGAAGCTCTATGTTCACAATTTTAGAGTTCTATGTTCATAATTTTATCACTATATGTTCATAATTATAAGTTCATAATGTTAGAGCTCTGTGTTCATAATTCAATAATTGTACATTCATATAATTTCATAAGTGTACATTCATAATCCCATAAGTGTACATTCATAACTCCATAACTGTACATTCATAATTTTCGAAGCTCTATGTTCACAATTTTAGAGCTCTATGTTCATAATTGTATCACTATATGTTCATAATTGTAAGTTCATAATATCAGAGCTCTGTGTTCATAATTTCATAATTCCATAACTGTACATTCATAATTACATAATTGTACATTCATAACGTCATAACTGTATATTCATAATCCCACAAACGAATAACGCCGTTAACGGCGAGACAAAATCAATTTTTTTTTTAACTGAAATGACACGTTTCCCCTGAAAATAATATCATTTTGAACTTGTGTCCACAATGCATTATGAACACGGGTCCAAGGCATA